TTAAATAAAAACATATTCATTGAAATGTTTAAATAAAAACAACTTGTCATACAAGAACCTTAAATAAAAACATAATCAACATTAGAATATACTCATTGAAATGAGCAAATAAATTGTTTAATTATTTAATTAAAATTGATCGGAGTACCTAATGTATGAATGTATAACATCGATGCCTAATTCAAAATGTTGGAAAATCTGATCCAAATCCTCTTTAGCAATTGTTTCGGCATAAACAAAACTGAAAATACCTTCATCCATAGGTATTTGGCGAATGCCACCCTCTATCACATTTGTTGTTCCTACATATGTTTCAAGGCACAACCTAAATCGAGGAACATATGCATTTTTAGGCTCAGCCAAACTTTGAATTGGACTTTAAACGATGTTGGTAACAACTAAACTTTGAGTACCAATTATGATTGGATTTACAAATAAAGTGCTAGTTATGACTGGACCTTTTAGAGAAATATCAACAATAATTGGACTTTAAGAACAGAGTGCCAGCTACAACTGGACTTTTGGGTCAAGGGATAATAAATCAAAGACGAGACATGGGTTAATGCAAAATGAACACAAAACACTTTTTGGGCTATGCATGGTTGAAATTTGCTTTTATGCATGATATGTGAATGTTCATGATATAAAAATGCTGACATTCATGAAATGACGTTTGGCAAGATGCGTTTATTGATGAACAAAAATGCAAGGTGAAATCACTGGGGAGATAAGTGATCAACTACTCTGACTGCTTGCACGTTCTTCGAGAAAAATATTCTACAGAAGTTCCTCAGGGGAAAACTGTTTCCAAGGTTCCTTGGGGAAGATTCAAAAGAAAATTCATTAGGGAGTCTACTGTCGGGTCTCATTGGAAGATACCTACTGCCGAGGTTTTGTTGAGAAAATACTTATTGCCAAGGTTTTGCTGGGAAATCTTCTGTCTAGATCAACCAAGGAATCTTCTGGCGAGATTCTACCACCTTCTGTCAAGGTCTACTATCGAGATTAGCCAGTAAATCAACTGTCGAGATTCACTTGAAGAGATATATACCTACTGCCGAAGTCTACTAGGAAATATTTGTCATACCTCGAAAAATATGATCCTTCGCGAATGGTCACAGAAAATTATTCGAACAGAGTCGCCATCGAACTTTATTCATTCCAATGAAGGAATAGGAAAATATCGATAAAACCTTTGAAAGATAAGAACATGGTCATCGCAACCAAATTCTAGGTTTGGGAGTCGATTACCCAAAGGGAAAGTATTAGCACCCTCACGTCCGTTGTACTCAACGGGAACCTCTTGGTTTGATTCGTGAGCAAATGTTAGCTAAGGTTGTTTGTTTTCTTCTAAGCAGATAATGCAAAATGGTATGAGAAAAGATTTTTGTTTTCTAAGGGGAAATGGGTGGTTTTTTATTAGGTTGCTCGCCAAGGATTGAGGCCCTTGTGCCGACGTATCTTCATTTGAAAAAAATGAAGAATCAGAGCGTCTGTAGTTCGTGGCACTACGGGTTGTTAGTTCGTTTTATCGAACGAATATTTAGGCCGCATTCTAAGGGCTAAACATTAGCTTTTATACTCTCGCTGAAGGCTTAAGCATTTAGTTCATGGGCGCATTAGAAAGGACTAAACATCGTTCTTTTGAGAAAAGTTTTTGCGTTCGAAACAGTATAAGGGTTTGAACTAAATGAAAAGGAGGTCCTAATTGGTATTGGGTAAGGTCGATGGCGATGCACAAGGCAATCGACTTACAAGAGGGGGTAGGGCTTGATATATGGATCAAATGCTTTAGGGTTTGGAATATATTCATCATGGAAGACAAAATATAAACAAACAAGTGAATGAAAGTGATAAAATTATTTTACACTTCATAGGGAGGAGGGTGCATCTTTTTGAATGGGGATAAGAAAAAATGGTAAACACACGGCTCAAACAAACAAGCATACACAAGTAAATGAACCACGAAAGTGATAAAACAATTAAATCGGTTTTTTGATTACGTGTGTACTAACAAAGTGTGCTAGTCTTTTAGACGACCATGTTTTGTATGGTAACCATGAGTTTGATGGCGATGCTTAAAAAGTGATCGACTTACAAGGGTGTAAAAAATGACTTGATATAAATCGAGAATCATTTTGAAAATTATTTAGGTGATGCTTGAGGTGATTATCAATTGAATAAAGCATACAATCGAGATGAAAGAGATAGAGTTATTACACTTCATGGGAATTGGGGTACATTTTATCGAATGGGGATATGAGATAGTGAAATAATCAAATCAAGCCCGATCAACAATTATAAACAAATGAGTGTTCGTTGTAAGAAGGCCCCCAAGAGTAAGCCATGGGATTTGGGGTACATTTTATCGAATGGGAATATGAGATAGTGAAATAATCAAATCAAGCCCAATCAACAATCATAAACAAATGAGTGTTCGTGGTGCAAAAATGTCTAAAAAATTAAACTGAATGCACTAAAATGATCAGCGCGAAATAAACTTCTCGAAAATATACAGCATTTGATTTAATTTTGAAATGAATTTTGACTGGTTAAAAGGCTCATATTGATCAAAATGCGACCGAAATAGTAGTCGCAAAATTAAAACGAGCATGTCAGGTTAAACTATGTGAAACGTATATTAATATAATTGGCTTCTGTAAGCTCGATTTTGAAATTTTTTGTCCATTGATTTTACACACAGTTGAGAATCAGTTTGACCGGTCTGCCTGTAAATCTGGAAAAAAAATGCTCTTGTTGACATTTAAGGCATTATGCAAGATGAAATACATGTTATGATATGCATATGATGTTAATGAATCGATGAATGCATTTATTCGGCGATTCAGGGTCAATATTGGGATATGAAAATTGTCCTTTTCGAGATTTTGAACTCATTTCCTAGTGATCTGGGTCATGGAGATTTATCATTGAGTCCTTCAAACCATGTCTCGCTGCGTCGAAGACTCGATCGACCCCTCATCGTTGGTTTGTCTACGCCTCGTCATTAATGTTTCTTAAAAGATACTTCATTAATGTTCATAGTAAACGTCTTTTCATTGACATTCTTTGTTGATTTTCTAATAGTTAAAAATCCAAGTGTAACAATGATGTTATTCAAGTTAACAACACATGACCCATATTTATACAACTTTGGAGTCATTATAGACCACACAATACGGTCGGTGCAATCATAGTCATTTAAAAGTGTCGGCAAAATCGTAATCGTTCAATTGCGCTCTCTTTTGTAACTACCAAATTTTTCAATAATTGACTAAATACACGATAGTTTCTGATTTTTTTTTTAATAAAAAGAACGGGTACTACGCATATATTCCAGATATTTTCATATATCTAGTGCGCCAAATATTTTGCATACACTACCGGATATTTTAGTCAATATATCTAGTGCCCCAAATATTTTGCATTGGTACCAAATTTTTTGCTTCAACTATCGAATATTTCATCCGAATTTTTAATCTTGACTTCTCACAAGAGCAACTTGGATATTATTGAAATATGGAAGATGTTAGATATAAAATAAGGAGCGATAGAAAGTTCCCTCGAGACTAACTCATGTAATTTCTTTATTTGGGCATTGCCCCTCCACATTTAAAAAAAAAAAAAAGTGAGAAGTGGGTGTTATTTATTTATTTTTAGTTTATCGTAAAATGTATTAATTAAAAAATAAAAAAAATGAATAAATATATGAAATTGCTAAATGTTTCCTAATTTAAACGTCAACGCTTAACAACTTTTATATACAATCTATTCAAATCCATAAATCAATATCCGACCAATCACAATGGAAATAATTTGTTCATGTTTTGAATCTCATATTCTGCTTTCTGTCTTCAAAAATAAAATCTTAGGCTCTCCATAATCTCAGCTGGAATTCATTTTGCTTAATAGGAGATCAAAAAATTGACTTTAAATTTAAAGACTAAAAGTTGGTTTTAATTAATATAGAGGATCAAAATAGTCCATTTAAGTCAATTATATTTATTTATAAATGAACTAAAATTATCCTCAAATATAATTAAGTATGATAAAATATGGTCCCGTTAATAAAAATAAGCATCAACTTTTAATAAAAAAATTAATTTCTAATGACTTTGCAAGTTTATGATGATTACTGTTTCTTTTAATCATATGTAAAGACATTCTTAATCTTTAAAGGTGTTTTTGAACATCTTACACCTAATAACAAAATTGTTACAACACATCTTCATAAAATTACACAAGCAATTAGATTATTTTCCTTTGGTTACAAATAATGTAAGATGAACACCCTTACGATTAAAACTATATCTTGCTTAACTTAATTGTGAGCAGTTGAAGACCTCAGCTTCCGGTCAAATAAAAGAATTTGAAATTGTGAATGCAACGAGCATCATTTTATCAAGAACAAACTTTTAATTTGTATGATTTACCGTTGTGTTTCTTGAGGCAGCTTCTCACGACTTTTATCCTCGTCTATTCAAGACATTTTTGACCAAACTTGCTTCCTACATGAACCGCTGCTCATCAACAGTCAACATAAAATTCAATAATACTACTTAAAAATCTTGATACTTCACAAAAAGCTAAATTTTAAATGGTTGAAACTATTGTCAAATACGACATGGCCGCTGATGATTATATCATAAATACACGTTAATAAATTAAAATGAAATAGTAATGACTATAGCAACAACTTATCAGGATAGATTAGAGAACAAAATAAAAGGCTAATGTCACTTCTCCATTTGGTTGTTATATGTGCTAATGTCATTATATATAGATACAACGACAACATCAATCAAGTCTTATCTCACTAAATGAGGTCGGCTATATGAATCAAACATGTCGATACTATTGCAAATGCTGTTATTATATTCAGTTAGATTATTGACAGGTTTTGTGAGATAGCAAAGGACAAAACCATTATAGAACAATGTTCTGCTTACCTATCGTGTAGTTGCAGTACACATGGATCTAGAAGCACACAAATAGTGGCATTACTTCTGTTCAGGCCACTTAATTGAATCTGTGGATATCTTCATCTTTGACGCACTGGTTTGGTTTGAGGAGTCATGCCATATCATCTCCATCTGATACATAGAAGAACAATTGGTCATTGGGTGTGAATTATGGAATGACACAATGTAGAGCTTTGAGTAGGACTACACAATTTATTGTTCAAAAATAAGCTTTGTCCCCCCATCTTATAATTATTGTTGATGTTTCTAGGTTATTCTCGAGGTCATAGAAAGTACTATGAATAGTGTTCTACCTTTAAGGAAACATAGTTTCAAGTGAATTTGAAGCAGTTACTGACAACTATATTCTATTCAATAAACCAAACACATAAACACACCACAAGAATTACAATGAACAGAAATGCTGAAGAAAAATGAAAATGTACCTCTCCAATCATCACTTTGTCGCCTTCCTTTACACCAAGTTTCACGAGAGACTTAAACACACCACAAGCCTCGAGAACATTTTGGAATCTTTTCTCTGAATCAACATACCTGTAAAAAAGATTCACTGGTTTCCATGAGACTGTCTATGAATGGAGGTTGCAATTTCAAGCATAATTTTAATCCTAATACACTTTTTTACTGACACGTATCAAGTATCCAAGAAGAGGATGGGGCTTCCAGCCTTCATATTTTTTTTTCACGCTGTTCTAGAAAGGTTATATTTTTTTGAAGTATAGGAAGATTCTTTGATGAAGTTTTGAAGTAAAGTATGTTTAACATGTAATAAAAATAACAATGGTGGAAAAAACCATGCTAAGGACATGTATTCAAATTCTTACTGTAAAAAAAGGACATGTAGTCTTACTGCAAAGGACATGTATTCTTAATCACAATTTTACTATTTAACCTACCGCCAATTTGTCATCTGGACAAAACGTTGCAATCCAGATCCAACTACACTCCAAACATCTGAATTGCTATCATGAAAAATCTCAAACTCACTAATGGATGCACTCCGTTGTTTCTGTATTACGTGAGCTATATGATTCATGTCTACCATATCTTGTCCATCTGAAACAGGTAATATTGTCCAAATGCAAAAAAACATAATTAGAAAAAAGAAGTGTTTTGGTAATGTAACAACAATATATAGAATACACATAAAACAAAGTATAACCTTCATATTCCTCCTTGTCTTCTTTATTTTTACGCCAAAGTTCATAAGCAGCACATATAACTTTATGAGTACCTTCCCTTTTGACAGCGCTCATACAAAAAGGTGTGATCCCACGAGATTCCAACTTATCCTTGAAGGATTCCCAGTTTTCATATGCTTCTGGAAGATCCATTTTGTTATAAACAACTATAAAAGGCTTCTCAGCAAGTTCAGGATTAAATAGCGTCAGCTCTAGACGAACTGCGTCAAACTCAAGATCTGGCTGTGGTGATGAACCATCAATGACATGTATCTGAAATACAATGTAAAGACTTATTTTAAATGAAAACTTTCAGGGTGAGGAAATGAAAGAGCGGACAGATAAATCAAATTCTCATACTTAGAAATAGCAAGCTTACCAATACCAGAGGTACATGCAGAAAAAATAAAATAAAACCATACTCATAATCTAAAGAAAAAGGAGACATGCATTGTCACTGTAAACTAGCTTTACACTGACAGCGTCTAATAAAAATTGAGTATTTGGTATATTTTCATAAACTGTCATTATCTTGGTTTATATACCAATAGAATGAGTTTTTATTAGATGATGGTGTGAAACAATGTTACACTTGTTAGTGTATAACCATTAAACCCTAATCTAAATAGGTGGACACTGTCAATGTTTTTATTAGAACAATTAATTTCTTGGTGCGCCCCTCAATTGTTACCGGAAGCATGCTTCCGGAAGTGTCTTTATCTGAAATACACTACCGGGGAGCACTCTTCCGGTAGTGTAGTTTTAGCATATAGAGGGGCAGATTGAGAAATTATCTTTTCAGGGATAAACTGCATATGACATTCAACATAAAGAGATTCAGAGTGGGCTGGGTTCACATCTACTAATTGGTTGATTTGGGGTCTGGTATAACACTCCGGCAGAAAGAAAGAAAAAAAAAAGTAAAAATAAGGGTAAGATATCTGATGGTAACAGACTCAAACGGTTCAAATAAGTAAACAAATTTTACTCAATCTATTTTAAACACAACTGACACTAGTCTGTAAGATCAAAAGGTTGCAGTGGCCTAAGTTATACATTTTTGTTTTCTTCCCCCTGTAAGATCAAAAGGTTGCAGTGGCCTAAGTTATACATTTTTGTTTTCTTCCCCCTGTAAGATCAAAAGGTTGCAGTGGCCTAAGTTATATATTTTTGTTTTCTTCCCCAGTAGGACTAGTGAGAATTGAGATTCTAAATGTAAGATATATATGTAGTCTAAATGTCTAACTACATAAGACAGACTAAATATATTGATAACATGTTGATCAAAAGTATTTACCAGTGCAGAGCACCTTTCAGTGTGTCGCAGAAATTCGTGACCTAAACCAAAACCTCTGTGTGCTCCTTCAAGAAGACCCGGAAGGTCTGCCACTACCATATTTGAATCATAGTCAAAGGAAACAACGCCCAAATTGGGAAGCAGCGTTGTAAAGGGATAATTTCCCACCTCTGGTTTTGCAGCACTAACAACACTCAAAAGTGTACTTTTCCCTGCATTTGGAGCACCAACTATTCCAACATCTGCAACCAGCTTGAGTTCCAACTCCAACCACCTGATCAAAACAAACCAGCATTCTTAGACTCTTATAATTTCAAATTCAACCCAGATTCAGGAAAACAAAAGAAACACTTCATATTTTCTTTCATGACCGCAACAATCTCAAACAAGATTAAGAATAAACTAGTTTCTCTTCCAAACAAAAACAAGTATAGTTTTAGCCATGACCATGCATCTCCTCCATCCATGATGGACATTTAACTCTCAAATACAATCTTAGATGAACAAAACTGAAAAAGCGAAATCAAACCATATGCTAACTTGTAATGCCACTCACAGTGCATCACCAACTCACCCAATCAAAAATACTGATATGGATCCTTGCTACCACTATGGCAGGAAAGTCATCATCACTATCTTTCTATAGCTTTCCTATATTACTCTCTATCTCACTCTCATCTTAACTCTCCTTTCTCTCTCACATTTCTAACCTTCTCGTAGAATACAATAAAGTCGCAATGACTTTCCTACACAGATCCAATTCCCAAAAACACCCTTCAAAAAAATATTTCAAAATACAAACTAGACATTAGACCTCCAAGTCACGGTTCAACTAATTTAAACAGCTCGATAAAGCCCGGTAACAAAAATTGTATATAACGCCAGTTCACATTTCAGCCGATTGAACCATTCCGTTTGGTTTTTAAAATTTGCTTAAAATATATCAATAGAATATCTTATGGTGAATAAGTATTATTATCAGTGACAGTGACAATAAAGCACAAATGAGAACTCACTCACATACATTTCATGACCTTCTTCACCATTCTCAGCAATCTTAGGAGCTTTATTATTCCCAGTCTTAAAAGCAGCATTCCCTCTACCACCTCTACCACCCGGCAACAACAATGTTTTCTGTCCATGATACACCATCTCCAACAGCACCACATCACTCCCAGCTTCTCTAACCACCGTCCCAGGAGGCACCTTCACCACCACATCTTCCCCCTTAGCACCAATCATCTTCCTTCCTTGCCCATGTGACCCCCTCTCTGCCCGAAAATGAATCCCATTCCGAAATGGTAACAACGAACTCATCCCTTTATCAACTTCCAAATACACATTACCACCTCTCCCTCCGTCCCCTCCTGACGGCCCTCCAAACGGCACATATTTCTCCCGCCGGAATGCCATCGAGCCGTTCCCTCCGTCTCCAGACCTTACAAGTATCTTTGCCCGGTCAAAACATCTCATAACAGCCGGTAACCCTTTCTCCTTCACCTCACCCTCTGATTCCTCACTCCATAATTCTTCATTTTCGTTAACCTCCTCGTTCCCATCGTCTTCATACTCATGGATTTCTTCTTCTTCTTCGTCTTCAGACTCGGAGTCATGAATTCCTTTAAAATTACCATCGATTTCTTCTTCGTCTTCAGACTCGGAATCACGAATTCCTTTAAAATTACCATCGATTTCTTCTTCTTCATCATCATCTTCGTCTTTGTGGAGAAATTGGTGAATTGATATTGATTCGGAGAGTGTAATTTCGGAGGAGGAAGAGGAGAAGGATGAGGAATAGTCTTCTTTGAGAGGGAGACGGGTGTAGGTGGTGGGTTCGGCGGCTGAGAGGAGTAGCGGTTCAGGCGGAGAATTATGCTTGGTGGTTTGGTTTTTGTTGAGTTTAGGGTTTGGAGGAGGTTTTCTTTTAGTGCGGGTGGGTAAACGATAGCGACGGTTGCGTGTGTTGGAACAGGTTATGGCAATGGGAGAGAACCATGGTGAGATTGAAGAAGCCATTTTCGTAATAGTGGGACAACACGTAGTAGTAGAAGATGAACTACATTTCGCGAATTTTTTTTTAAAGTAGCAATGTTATAAATTTTATTTACCAAACAAAATAAGGTTTCAATTAATTTACGAAAATGGCAAGGTTTTGAAAGGTGGAAGCAGTCAGTCGCCAGATGAATTGGCGAATTAGGCAAATCCCATTTCAACAGATTCGCCAGATGAATTGGCGAATTAGCCAAACCATAACAAACTCGCCACATGAATTGGCGAATTAGCCAAACCATAACAAACTCGCCACATCATTTGGCGAATTAGTATAACTTTATTTTTTGTTTTTTTTTTCTTTTTATATTATGATTTCATATTTTTAAAGTTTAAAAATTTATTTGTTTTTAATTATTATTATTACTAATTTAAGTTTAATATATTAATTTATAATATAATTAATTTATAATATAAGTTTAATTTTAATTTAAGTTTTATTTTTAAAGTTTAATTTTAATTTTAACTTTAATATAAGTTATAATTTTAATTTAAGTTTTAAAATATAAAATATTTTGATTATTATTTTGAATATTATTTATATTATTAATAAACTTATTTTTAAATTATAAATTAATTTTTGAATTTATAAATTATAAATATTATTTTTAAACTTATTTATATTTTTATTATTTTGATTATTATTTTGAATTTATAAATGTATTATTTGTATTAATTTTTAAAAATTTGCCAAGCCTGGTTTTTAAACTTCCCATATATATTTATAGGGTGGCTTTTATCAATGAATGTATAGTCACCCCAGTGGTAATCACTTTGTCACCAAATGCGCATTTCACCTTGCTAGCCTAGGTTCAATCTTTTTGTTTATTTTTTTTTTTTTGTTTTTTTTCTTGTTTTTTTGTTTGTTTTTTTTTTTCATTTTATTTTCACTTGGCTATAAATACGAGCTCAAACACATGTTTGTTGAGTGGAGTCTATAATGTCTGCATTTTTAAATCAACGTTCTTCTTCTTCGTCATCAGCATCGGAGGAACCTTTTCCAACGTTTGATATAATGAAAAGAAATGCCCTTGTGGTGTTTTCAGCAACAAAGCCTCCGATGAAGGTGCTCCTCTGGAATACGCAGACGTTGGAGCACTTGCACAGGGAACTGAACCGCTGGCTAGAAGGGGATATTGCTCCAGGAGAAAAGATTAGGAAAATTGAGAGGTTGGTGGAGAAGACCGATAGAAACGGAGTTACTCGTGAATGGAGAAAAGTGGAAAATGATGCCGGCGTCCTCGTGATGATGTTGACGCCAAAGGAGATAAAGTTGATGGTCGTGATATCGTAGACGCTCTGTTCCAGTGTTTTGTTTTATGTCTTTACTTTGTTGTTATGTTTGTTTAATTTATGAATGTTTACTTTGTTGTTATGTTTGTTTAATTTATGAATGTTAATCAAATGAAAGTTTCTATTGAATTAAATGGACACGTTTACAAATGAAACTATGATCTGTTGCTTGGTCCTACGTTTGGACATGTCGTACGATTGTGTCCTGGTTGCCGACACGAACTACACAATCTCACTAGCTTATCTGAGGTATCCATCTCTGTTCGTATGCGCGTGCTGTTAGGCCGACCCTTCTTCTTTCTGTGCATCAAGTCATTATGCCAAACAATTTCGCCTTCGTATTCCGGCCAATAGTCTTCCTTTGCCACCACATGAAAACTGCATGAGTAGACATTGCATAGACTAATGACTTGGTGAACTGTAGAAAGAAGGTTGGTTGGGTCCTGGCGCGCCTTTGAACAAGCTGCTATGACATGAGAGCAAGGCATACGGAATGCTTGAAACTTTCCACAATCACACCAGCTCTTATCTAATTCAACACGATAACATCCTCTGGGCCTTCCTTCATTGTGATCTATAGCCTCGACAACACTGAACCAACCAGCTGTACGGTCAAATATTGTGACCACGTGGGTGTTGGCTTTCGCAGCTTCGTCTTTCATGAATTGCATTGCAGTATCGCTGTACAGCTGACCCGATTGTAATACCGAACCCCACTTTGCACGTCTGCTATCAAAAAGTGATCCCATCCTAAAATAGGTTGCCTTTACCAAAGCAGTAATTGGGAGGTTTCGAATTCCCTTGAAAACAGAATTCATTGACTCGACGAGGTTGGTTGTCATGTGGCCCCATCGCACCCCATGGTCGTATGCCCGCGTCCATTTCTCCCTATCAATGCCATCAATCCATCTTAATGCATCCGCGTTGTTCAGTCTGATCTCGTCACGGTAGTATCTGAATGTTGGTTCAGTTAGTGCATACCCCGCGTTCACAACCTTCTTCCGCAGCGTCCTGTCTTTGATCTCCCTCATGAAATTTTGGGCAATATGCCTTATGCAATAGACGTGGGTCGATGGAGGATCCTGCCAACCGTTGTCATGGTTGTTGTAAGCACTCTCGATGGATGGGTGTCGATCGGAGATCAAACATAAGTTAGGTTGGGGAGACACGTAAGAGCGTAGGTTTTTTAAGAAAAAACTCCAACCCCCAGCAGTCTCCCCTTCAACAGCTTTATTCCTGGCTATCCAGGCTTTTCGGTACGAAGGAGTGTAGTTGTACCGTTGTACCATATGTGCAATTATGGTACTCACCTTCAAAGATGGGTTGTCGCTGACGACTGATAGAATCTCATCACAAATCAATTTAGAGTTGAGTTTGCGATGGTCTTGCATAGGATTCGAGATTATACAGCTGTGGGACGGACCCATTGACCCTATCTTCCAGGAATCGCTTCTCTTCCTGAAAGATGCTGTTAATTTGAACGGGCACTCCTCGTTACGACAATAGATCATATACCGCGTTGGATTTGAGTGATCAACTCTGTAATCGGCTGACAATTCCATGTGAAACTGTTTGATAGCCCGGACACAATCTTGTTTTGTACGAAACTCGTCACCCTCTTTAAGTTGGCCATGTGTTGTGTAGTTGGGGTTGAAGAAAACATCCGTTGGGGGTTCATCATCACCTAAGGTGATATCAGTCATGTGTTTTGGTGGACAATAGACATTCTCAGGTTGAACTTCATCCTCCGGATTGTTCACCATCTCGTCAACTATGACTTCAGTTGCTTCTTCCTCTTCGTCAACGACATTGACTTCGGGGTGTTCATCTTCAGAATCGCAAAAAACTTGTGACGAATCAAGTTGCTGAGATAGTTGTTGTTGTTGTAACGTAACGTAAACCATGATTTCTGAGAACCCTGAATACTCGTGAGTGCGGAACATGTTACGCACGTCTTCATCATCTCGCACCTTTAAAGGAAAAAATTTGCATGAATCAAGTCCGGCAAAGAATATTGGGTTTTTGTATATTATTTGCCCAACTAGACCACACTGCAATTTTTTTTCTAATCTTGACTTAAGGTGTAAAAAGTTAGACCTTCTGTCAATTAAAAATCTTGTAACCTCCGTGTTTCTGAAACTGTATCCCGATACCTCACATTCGAAAGTTTCACCATTCATATGAGCGGCAATCATGTGTTGTGGTGTTTGAGACATTGTGGAAATTGTGGTGTTTGAATAATGCAGTGTTTCAATGTTTTAGTGTGTTTGAGACTTTGAGTGTGTTTGAGACTTTGAGTTTGATAAAGGCTTTATAAAATGGGCTTAGTGTTTTTGCGTGTTTGACAAAGGCTTTATAAAATGGGCTCAGTGTTTTTGCGTGTTACTCTATAATCAATGTTTGAGTGTTTGAGTGTTTGATAAAGTTCTGCCTTTCACTTGTCCTGTCTACTCTATAATCAATGCACATGCAAAGTTCTGCATTTACATGTGATGCTCAAGTCAAGAATCTCTGCCTGCCTTTCATTTATCACGCATGCTCCATAATTGTGATGTTCAGGAATCTCTGCATGCCTGCACTTCTGCCACAAAACGTTTAATTGTGAAGTGACAATACAAACTTCTGCCTTTAATTGTGATGTTCATTTATCACACTACGATGAATAAAATTATTTTATGCAATTAAAGAACCACAAAACGTTTAATTAAATATATAATATAATATGATGAAAAAAAAATATTATATAAAATGATGAATAAAAATATTATATAATATGATTAGATGTTTCAGTGAAGGAATCTCGTTTTTTAAAATGTGATCTGCATCCCTACATTGACCATGCAGGCCTACGAGCATCTGCGTTGATACATTGCATTACAATAAATGCCATGCAGTCTGTTTGATTAGACGTTACACTGAGGGAATCTCCTTTTTCACAATAATATTAATAATATTTATATGAATAATAATAATAATAATATTAATAATAATAATATTAATATTAATAATAATAATATTGATATTAATAATAATAAAAATAACTCCTTTGTTTATATTTATTTCAATAGATTAGTCTAGTAAATTTAAATACATTAGTCTAGTTAATTTAAATAATTTTACTAAATCAACATACTAAAACATCTAATACAATATCATTTAAAAAATTTGTTAGTAATTTGTCAAGCATGCACTCATAAAAGTTCTGCCTCACGCCAAGTGCTCAGCATGCACTCACATGTCACGCCAAGTGCTCAGCATGCACTCATAAAAGTTCTGCCTCACGCCAAGTGCTCAGCATGCACTAATAAAAATATTAATACTAATAATAATAAAAATAATACCTTCAAGGTGCTCAGCATGCAATAACAAAACACACATATGTCACGCCAAGTGTCAAGCATGCATTTAAACCATATCCACTCTTTGAATATAAATATGGGGTATATACACTCACACATTCATACTCTCTTTGTCTCAAACTCTCAAACTCCCAAGTTTTCTAAGTCTCACCCACTCAAACCTCTCTAGCTCTCATACTCTCAAACTCCCAATTTTTCTAAGTCTCAACCACTCAAACCTCTCTAGCTCTCATACTCTCTTTGTCTCATACATCTCAAACCTTTTTTACATCGCAACAATGTCTCTACTTACAATGGGAGAATCTCACAGAGGGA